TTCGATTGAAATTCACAAACAAACTCGCTTGATTATTTATTACGCCACGTTTTCTGAAAGACAAAGTTCAAGCAGTTAAAATGTAGTACTTCATGACGTTCAGCACAGTCGCCGTGAAGTAGTTATCAGTTGTGTAATCTTGTTTATTATATAAGCTCACGTTGGTAAGTGGGTTTTGGAATAGCTTTATTTTCAGATTTGTTCTAATAATGTCAGATAAACTTTGTTTTTAATTCTTTAGAACAAGATTGCAAACCACATTGTGTTGTTCTTCATTGTGAAGATTATAAATGTATTGGCAATGGATGATACAAACATGTGTCAACACAATTCGAAAATTCGATAATGTTACTGACCCGCTAAGTGTTTAGTCATGGAAATCCTGTGTGTATATTATATGTTATACCGTTTTTTTTTATTGCAAAATTGTGAATTGTAAAAACAACGGACATCTCGAGTAATAGTCAAGTTAAAATCAGAAACTTCTAAGCAACCTTTATGTATCTATTTTGTATTAGTGCACATCATATAAATGCAGCATCTGAGCGATATCCCCAACTTTTTGAAGGGAGTAGCGCCACCATGCTGATGAAAAAGTACCAGTGAATTGGTCAAATAAACTCACCCTGAATTACCCTAACGTACTATATATATTTGCTTATCACGTAAAGTATGTAGACGACTCTAACAGTGAGGTCAAAAGGCGAACTTTCGAATACGCTAAGCATGGCAACGTGAATACATGGCATTTGAAATCACTAAGCTTACTAAATGCACTACATATACATACAAAATGTTTTGCTTGCAGTGAGTTTTAATCCTATTAAACGTGTGCGTTTTAGTCATTCCGTGTACGTTTTGAACGTCTGTTATCAATCAGTAAGCTCAGGTTAGCTCAAGAGCTGAATCAATAGAATAAACAGCCAATGTCAATAGAGTAGTATACGTTAACTTTGGGCTATGTACTGTTTCTTAAATGAAGTAATGAATCATAATGAAGTATCTTTGAGGTGAATGCAATGTCTTTATAAATGAAAGTTAGTTCCAGACATTGTTGTAACAGCCATTGCTTGAACATTAGACATAATGAGATTCTTTGTAAATAAACACTAACATTAATAGTTCTTACTTTCTCATATGCTAGAATATGTAACCTATTGTAATATAAAAGTTCATTATATTTTAATGTAATTTACTATATTAAT